AGTGATGAGTTGCCACAAACGGTTGTTAAAGAGGAGTTACGTAATAACGTGAATTGTTTCATAAAAGAGTTGTGCTCAGGGTGTACATGGAAACAAAATAACATACGGAATTACGCAAGGGTTTTAAGTAGTTAGAAAAATAAACATACAAACAAAAGTCAAATCAACAGAGTTGTTACCATGAGAGTAAAAGTGGTTGAATAATTTTCTTTTGTATGCATAGTTCTGGTTCTTCCAAATGAATGATATCTTTAACAAAATCAACGAATTGGAAGGTGTCACGATGCGAATAGTGGCACATCTGTTTTCGTACAGGTTCTAAAATGTCAGCTAGCCATTTCGCTGTTGAATGGTACGGGGAACCTGACATATCCATTTCTCTCGTCTCATACATATTGATAGATACATACTTTGTCATTACCACACTAGCCTCTCACAGAAAATTAGCCACAAGTATTTTCTGTCATAACTGAAACACAACGATGAACGTTACTTTGCGATCCCCAATTTGAAATTTACAGTTTGACACACCTGTACTTTTCCACACATGTCCACCTACCGTTTGGAATGTCAGTCAGTACGGTCTAACGCTCTGACACATATTCTTATATATTAGTGAAACTGCAGCTCGTATATCAGTTCGACATATTAACCCCTGGCTATTCACTAACAATTTCGAATACATGCCCTCCATCTCTCAACTGCCCACACTACCTCTACTCTTATCGAAGAGACGTAGCATACTGCGATGAACTGAATGTCACGGAAACCAACATTGCATTCTGTTTCTCCATCCGCCAATTCGATGACTACTGTCTGCCCAGCCTTCTGTATGGTAGACATCCAACTTTTGAAAGAGTTTCTCTGATATTATTTCGACACCGGATGCCATGTCGATTTGAAGAGGTATGGGTTCGATGGCACCCACCCGATGCATGTATATACACTATGGTGACAGGAACTTTTAAAAATCACTTCGATCACAAATAACGTTTCCACTGATGATTTTATGTATTTTTCATAGTTGAGCCCTCCCTTCTAAGAAGAAATAGAAGTCTCCCCCACTCATTATGTTTAAGAATAAAATACAATCGATGGTGAACTGGAAAAACTCGGACAAGTCCTCATTGCAAGTGGATATCCTTCACGGTGCATCGGTGGCGCAGTGGTTAGGACTCTCGCCGATCATGCACATGGTCCGGAGTTCGATCCTCTGCCGACGCACACCTGATATCGATGGTCGGACTGCAAAATTTGGGCTACCGATATCACATGTTGAAAATTCCATACCTGTACCAAAAATACGATGGAGTCAAGTTGTAATCAAAATAATATTAAAAATATCAAAATAAAGGTTCATCCAGAAAAATATGAACGTAAAGCGAAAGTCTGAAAGAATACAAACGGTGTCGAAGAAATCTGTCTTCATCAATGACGAATTTAAAGGTGATACTGCGGCTGAGATTCTGAACAACTGCCTACCAAGATCACTTAGGAAAGCTTTCTTCTCGACTGGGTTACAGATCTGTTTCTACAGTCAATAAATGATCGATGGATGTGTTAAGGACGAACTACCGCTCTGGGTCACTTAAATATGTATTTGTAAATCCACTTGACCCTGTTGAGCTAGTTGTATTGGCTATGGAAAGCAAACACTTTACAAACGCATCTATGAACACTACCCAGTATGACTAACAAAATAACGTTGTAAGACCATTACTAGCTGAATTCTCGAGCACTTGGTGAGCACAGGCCATGCAGCTTCAGCTGAATTGTCTTTCAACACTGTCTACAAATTGAGACCGAATGATACAAGCGGTGTTCGGTCTCGCTCAGCATGTGTATGGAGGCGGCAGTTACAACGACTCGTCAACACAACCCCAAACTCTATGTACAGAAAGCTTTGTACAGTATTCCATGGTCTTAATCTCTTCCCAAGTCATTCAGTTTTATTTTCGACTTCTTAATAGTTAGTTCGCTTTCACTTTCAATAATACATTCACTACTATCACTCTTACATCTTCCTTTTGTACACTTTCTCACCCTCTTCACACTTTTCAAGTGGACACTCAACCAGCTTTCCTCACATTCAATAACAATTTTTAGCCTTACCACATTTCAGACACTTTCTTCTTGCATCGTGCCATTGGCCATTACGTAATTTTCAATTTTAGTCTGGGAGCCACTTCTGAGGAATTATATTGTGGTGGTGTGGTACAGACAATGGGTCCCAACAGAATACTATTCTCATAGTAAGAAACATTTTTAACCTTTTAACATTGGTAACCTTTTAATTATATATATTAATTTTTCTTCGTTAATTATCAACCCATTGAAATTTTGACTGACTAATTATTGTTAACAAACATTTGTATTTGTTGGTGTTAACGTCTGACTATTATTCCCACAGCTACATACAGCATTAGCAACAGATGGCTATGTATATTTGAGCATTCTATTTCCTGTAAACCAAAATCACACGCTCAGTGACTGTTTAAAGAATATAAACTGCATGGATATAAATAGCTGTTTGATCACTTGAAAATAAACCTTGGCTTCCGTGTCTTGCCTTCTGCTGTTACTATATCACTCTGTTGTCATACACCCGAATCCCGATTACTCAATAATAGACTACTACTGTATGGTTTTGGTTGATATAAGTATGACTGTACAGTCCCTGAAAATGATCTCGTCGACAGAGGAAATTTTCTCCACCAAGTTAAGTCTGACCACGGATTGATAGCACTTCGAGAATCATTGAAATCCGGGGTGCACTGGGCAACCTTCTCGTACTAGTTTGGGACTTACAGGCAGTACGCACCCACCGGAGTTCGAATCTAGGACCTACCAGTTACAAGACAGGCTCGTAGACCATTCAGCCACTGATACCCGACTCAGTGGTCCAAGAATCCTAACTTCTTTCTTCAGGGCACGATCGCCTTTTAATTCCAATGGTGCTTGAATATCACCTTATTTTCTAGCGCTTTCGGTCAGTTATTCGTACGAATATTTTGATACGAGTGTCAGTAACTAATACCTCCTCCCAAAGCTGGAAACAATCACAGATCTTGGTATAAAACATACCTATCCTTCTCGGATCGTGCGAATAAGGTGGTATCAGACTGCCGAAGACTTATCCACCTCGTCCTGAACAACTTCCACAGTTCAAAAGCGAGATAGCCTGGTCAGACGATCTCCGTTAAAAGTCTTACCCTCACATCTGAACCCATTTGAAGTGTCGACCGATCTGATTAGTTGGTCCAAGGTCACTTGGCCATGGTATCCATTATTTACAGCTGACAACTTAATCTTCTTCGAGCATTCACAACTCCTACTTTTCTGCATCCTACGAAATCAATAATGGTAATAATAATGACTTTTTATTTCCTTCACTCTTACTATTCATGGATGAATTTGTACAGATAGTGTCGTTAAGAACGTCCTTATGTGTTGATTTGACTGGAAAACTATTGGCGGCATTTGTCATGATATCAAGTAACATGCGAAAGCATTGTACGTTGTATGATTTAGGCAGGGACGAAGCAACCCAATTCAATTACTACAACAGTTACCATGCGTACACCACAGTCGGTCATCACAAACGGTGGTACGGGACCGACTTATGTTGAACAGATCTAAATATTGGTCATTCTCCTAATAACTCCAACAGGTAAACGGTGTCCTGGTGCTGACGACAAGGTAGTCCTTGGTATGTCACACACACACACACACACACCAGCATGAATCCACCAGTAAATACTAAAAAACTTCACCCAGAGACTTCAACCTGAATCTACACTTACTTTTTTATTTTTGATTGCAGCTTGATTCCACCCAGTATTTCTGGCACAAGTGTGTAATTTTCAGCATGGATATCGGTAGCCTAAATTCTGCAGGCCAACCATAGATATCAGATGTGCATTAATGTCAGTAGAAATAAACCAAATAAATTATAATCATATTTCAGTAGTTTACACACAATGATAAGTTCTTGTTTTGGGTGATATTTCGAGCAAAATTACTCACGCAGCCCACAGTGAGAGCCACATGCGAGTTATACAGCTGCAGCTATCGCGACTATTTTGCTAGTGAAGTCAAAAATAAGTGCCGTTCAAGATCACTTTTTCAGTTACGTTGCATTTACACCACGAAATATTTCATCCAATATAGCACAACCTACTCGGACCTTGTACAATCTTGACCCTGATGGAACTCAGTCTGTCCTGTTGAAAGAGGTAGTGGAGACACACATATGCATTATTCTCCAGAAGCCTTTCGACATACGCTTAACCAGTTGTGGTTACGCAGTGCTCTAAAAGTCCCCGTTTATAATCCCTGAAAACGAAACTCCATAGCTTCCTAATGTTGAAAACCATCGACATTACGTCAGTGTCAGTAGTTCCGAGGGATATGTAAGAGGTCGTAGCGTAAGATATTACTACAACAAACTGTCTAAACCAGGACAACACATCCTCCATGAAGTCCCTCACAAAAGACTACTCCTCAAGCTGAAGTCGTTCGACTACTAAGGCCCTCGGTTACCCTGCCTCAACCCTTCTTGGAGGGCCGCTCCAAGTAGTGAACTCCTCAATACTTACATATCGCCTAGATCCATATGATTTGAAGTGATTCAGGGTAGCGCGCTGGGGTCATTGCTTATCCTGATTTACATTAACAATGCCCACAATGTTGCACACCGTATCCCTTTGATGACGACTTAAAGATTGCTCATGTCTCTCCTAATTCGACTCTGAAAGAAGCATTCACAACACATTCAAGACGAATGGATTGGGCTATGTAATTAGAATTATGTCTCGTCGTAACTGCTGCTATTATTCAGTGCTAATAAGTGTGGAATCCTATGCTTTAATAACTCTACTCCCAATATGACATGACGATCTGACAGACTCACACCACAGCATTTACTCATCATTTCGACAATTAAGCAAGTGTGCAAACAACGCATTCACCACATAACATATAAAGGATAAGAAGCTATTCCCTAAAAAAGTATGATTTATTAATACATTTCAAACTAACCATTGATGACAATAAACATATACAAAAGTTACATTCTATCAAATCTTACAATGACACCATTATCACATACACATAAGAGAATTTCACCGTCATTTGCAAAACGTATTTGTCTGATTGCCACATGGTTCGACGATGAACCACCTCGACCAACTCTGCTAATTGGAGGGAGACGAAGCACTTTAGGTGGCAGATTGAATGCTTTCTCAGGATTCTTTAGATCCCACAAATACACGCGTGGCGGACCACTACTTGTGCCCAAAGCAAGAATCTGATTTTTCGGATCCAAATCAAAACGAGTAAACCATAGGTTACAATTCTCTGCTTTCAAACGGTGAATGACGCTCGCTTTGGGGTCTGTCAGTACACCGGGTGTATGGAGTTGGTTTTCTGAATAAGGGACAATCCCAGATAGCCGAGTCGGAAGCCGCAAACCATCTAACACCTGAACAGCACCACCTGAACCACTCTCACTACATACTACAGGCGAACTTCCTGATGAACTATCTAGTTCACCAGGTTTCCAAACCATAACACAATTTTCACACGACTTAGAGATAACCAAGCTACCAAACCAACGCGCACAATCCACGTAATCACCGTGCACATCACGAGAACTGAATTCCGGGAATTGTTGTACCAGTACAGGGAACAGCCTATGAAGGAACAATTACAAAATATCAAGTTACCAAACTGCACAGTAGTCAAGCACAAACTACTGACAATCGAAAAAAACAGTAAATATATTTCGTCACATTGCTGAATTATTTCCAACAACTCAACAAGATTCAAACTATCTGTCTACAATGCTTCAGCCAACCATCATCACAGTCATCATCAGATCTACAACAACGACAATTCTATATTCACTAAAACACAATGTAGTTTATTAAACTCGAAGTGCTGATTACAATAGATCTGCAATAAATCTGCAAACTTCATGTCATTATCAAGCAACAATTCCACTGGGGAATATAGCCCAAATAATGTATGTGTCAATAGCATTCACTTACCTATATTTATGGAATCACAAAATATACTAATAGAATATCCTGAGCGATAATACTGTCTGACATTTAACAAATGCATCTCACGTTATTTGTCTCACATATAATTTCTTCCCATAGGATAAAAAAATTTTAAAGTTTAGTAAACGTAGACTTTAACAATGTGTCATATGCACAACTATGCAGGATACCACTTTCATTGTGCAATGACATCTTCAGAATGATAAGGTATACGGCATCAATGAGATCAGTCGGCGTTCACCGTCGCAGTAATCCTACTTATTTGAACGCAACACTTACAACAATCACTAGCTAGTCTGTCTGCCTGTTTTCGACATAGAACTCTGCACATTTTTGCGGCAGTTCAAGTCGCCATACTCCATGTAGCACATAAAGCAAGAGTAGAAAGTATAAGAAATGCATATTAGAGACAGTAAACAGAGGTGAGACAAAGGAATAGTAATAACGAAGAACAAAACAGTTGCTTTGGAAATCATAAGTCACAAGGAGTGGATGCATTTGCGCCATTGAGAACGATTTTGGGCCATGTCAGCATTAGTTTTTACCGTCCCGAGGACCCCAACCAGGAAGCCAGTCTACACCTTCTTATGTGGCCTAGACTAACTGTTGTAGATTTCATTGGCTGGTGCCATGTTTTTGTTTGACGCCGCTAGCGCTTTTCCAGCCTGACCGTATATCAGCTAACATTGCCCGTCGAGGAAGGCGATGACTAGGCATACGTAACACATGTCTTAACCATCTCAGTCGATGTAATTTCACACCCTCGTAGATTGATTTCCCCTCCTTACCTCGCACTCGACGCCTAACCTCAATATTGCTCACCTTATTATGCCACTTCACACGGGATATAGAGCGCAGGCACCTATGATCAAAGACTGCTAATCTTTTCATGTCTTTCACTCTCAATGGCCAGGTCTCGCAGCCATAAAGGAGGACGGGGCGGACTGATGAGCAGTACACCCATCCTTTGGTCAATAGTCGGATATCACGTCTATACCAGAGACGGCGTAAACTGGCATATGCGAAACTAGCCCACTGTATCCTAGTTTTAAAACGACTATCGACTATTTATTCCAGTCTGTATACATGTATACACCTCGTAGGAAAATAATGATTGTACACAGTTAACAAATGTAATCAGGCGACCAAATGAATCCACCCTCACTGAATAGCTCTACAAATAAAGATGAAATAAGTAGCTTCCCTTAGTTTATCTCAGGCCTGATTCATATCACTTGGGGAAATATTTTAAAAGTCATACAGTTCACTGGAAACGTCTTCCTTACTTTACTTCATGTACTTAGTTTGCATTAACTGACTTCTCACTCTCTCCACTGCTTGTTTACATGATACTGATTTGTCATGTTAAGAATAACTATCTCACTAGAGAAAACTAAAACTTCAGATGCTCGTCCGAACCAAGCTAAGAAGTACACTGTCAAAGGTTCGAGGGTGCGTATGTGAAACCGAAATTTTATCTCACAGAAAAGTCTCTTATGTACAATTAGTATATTCCGATGGCCACAACTACCGCAGTGTAAAAGACGTCGTTTCAAAATGAAAGCACACATTCAACTTTGTCGAACCAACTACTTCAAAGAAAGTTATCACTCCCAACTAGGGTAAATACATCACCCCGACCGAAAGCTGCTACCTTGACGTGGTGGTCGGGCTTGAACACCGCAATGATCTATTCAAGCTATACTGGCTGAGACTTATGTCTCTTGAGGTACTACCATGCCAGGCAGGTTGTTTGGATAGCGGTTAAACAAAAAGCAGCTACCCAATCCAACATCATGTCCAATACAAAATCACAAAATTTCATGCCGGATCGGCCGTGGCCCGGATTAACAACGACCGCGCTTCCTGCTGCCGTGTCACAGGGCAGGAGTGATAAATCTGCTACTGAGACACACCAAACAAAAAAGAACGAACAAAAACAGGCCGCGTGTGACCGGCCTCAAGCAGTTGTCCCCTGGGCTCTGCGGTCACGCAACCAACTTCCACGGTGTGGGCAGCCGGGAAGTAACAATCGCCCTCACAATCCGAAATGCACACGAAACCTCTCTATTACTCACTCATCTTTGTCTTCATCTTCATCTCTATCATCTTGCCTTCCTTCCACTGATGCAACTCCTCGACTTGATAGCTCTCCACTTCCTCTCCACTCTGCGTCCACTAAAAACGATGGAAGCCAAAAAACCACCACCGACAGCCTCTTAAAGCCGCGCCACCAATTTCATATAGGAGCTCTTAATGTGAGGACACTGTGCCAAATAGGACAACAAGCATCACTAGCCAAGACCCTGGCATCACGAGCCATTGATGTATGCTGTGTTTCAGAAACACGCATACAAGACCCAAGTGTGGTTATTCACCTAACCCCACCTGGCCAACAGGTTGAATCTGCAAAATTCACCTTGAGGGTGTCAGGAGATGCCACAGCTAGTTCACGAGGATTAGCTGGCGTAGGGATAGCTTTGAGTACTAGGGCAGAAAAGATATTACTTGACTGGATCCCGGTAGATAGCCGAATGTGTGCTGTCCGCCTGAACGGATCAGTAAGAAGGAGGAAGGACTGCACTACTCGCCGATGCCTTTTCGTAATCTCCGCCTACGCCCCCACTGACTGCAGTTCAGATGAAACGAAGGATGAGTTCTACCAAAAGCTGTCTAGTTTGGTGCGAAAGGCTAAACACTCAGACATAGTCGTTCTAGCTGGTGACTTTAACGCTCAAGTAGGGAAATTGTGTCAATCTGAGAAGGATGTCGGTGGCACCTATGGAGTCCCGTGCCAGCGAACCGACAACGGTGACCGTCTCCTACAGTTCTGCTCTGATAATCATTTGTTTCTTGTAAGCACTAACTTTAAACACAAGGAGAGACACTGTTTGACTTGGAGACCCCCTTCATCAAATCAACGCTGGACACAAATAGACCACATAGCAATAAGCTATCGTTGGCGTGGGTCGGTAGGAGATTGTCGCTCCTTCTGGAACACGTGCGTAGATACCGACCATGCACTGGTCCGCGCTCGGGTGTGCTTACGACTGAACGGACGTAGGAAACAGCTGGCGGTAAAACCATCACGTCCCCAGCTCGATCAGGAAACTAAATCCCTATTTGAGGAAGAACTAGCTAAACACATATCTGAGTTCGACAGCTGTGCTCACCCTGAAGAAGCTTGGAAAAATATCCAGGCAGCCATAGATACAGCTGTAAAAGCTGTGAATAAGGTAAACCCAAAGGTGAGTAAAAACCACTGGATCTCCACCGCCTCATCCGAACTGATAGATGCTAGAAGACTTATTCCGGCGAGCTCCGAATTCAATGAGGAGCGAAAGCTGCACAAGAGGAAACTTACGAAAAGTCTCCGCAAGGACCGTGAACAGTGGTGGGCGACAAAAGCCAAAGAGATGGAGAAAGCTTCGAGGATAGGTAACACCAGGCAACTATTTAGACTCATCAGGGAAACGGGTGGGAGAAGACAAATCATCAGTGAGACAATCTCGGAAAAAAATGGCACTATAATTAGCTCCCAGGATAGACGACTGGATCGTTGGAAAGAGCATTATGAGGAGCAGTTTAATTTGCCCACAGCCACGCTCAACCTTCCGAGCATCCAACACCTCCCTGAATGGGATATAAACACAGGTCCTCCGTCACTAACTGAGGTTACTAAAGCTGTCACCAATCTGAAACTAGGCAAAGCAGCGGGACCTGATGGAATGACTCCAGAGGTATTTAAGTACGGTGGAGACAGCTTACTGTCCGGATTAACTGAGGTACTAGGCAGCGTCTGGGAATCAGAAGAAGTCCCATCGGGTTGGTGTAAGTCACTGATTATCCCCATATACAAGAAGGGAGACAAGTCTTCCTGTGATAATCACAGAGGGATTAGCTTGACTAATATAGTATCTAAAGTCTTAGGCTCAATAATCATGCGTAGACTAAGTGGTCCATGGGAGGCACAAACACGAGAGAGCCAGGCTGGCTTTAGACCAGGAAGAGGGTGTATTGATCATATCTTCACCCTCCGACAGATTCTAGAACATAGGCATTCCTACCGGCGTCCAACAGTCATTATATTTCTTGACCTAAAGGCAGCATTCGACTCTGTCGATCGGGAAGTTCTCTGGAGATGCTTGGCTGTAAAGGGAATTCCAAGAAAATATATTGCACTGATTAAGGCACTCTACTCGTACTCATACAGCCAGGTGAGGGCTTACGGCGAGCTGTCATCTGAACTGATGACGACCAGTGGTGTCCGTCAAGGATGCCCATTATCTCCTTTTCTATTCAACTTCATCATAGATGTGTTAATGGACTTAACCCTAGGTGACTTCAGCGACTCAGGGATTGACTTGCTACCGGGGAATAATCTCGTTGACTTGGAATATGCAGACGATATAGTCCTTCTAGGCGAAGACGCTGACGAAATGCAGAGTCTTCTAAACACCTTGAGCCGCAATCTACGAATGTTTGGCATGCGATTCGCTCCCGCCAAATGCAAGATGATGTTACAGGACTGGACTACATCGACGCCTAGTTTAAAAATAGGAAGTGAAGTGGTAGAGCACGTTGACCGCTTCACTTATTTGGGAAGTACCATCAGCCCCAACGGGCTGATCTCTGACGAAATCTCAGCACGAATACAAGGGGCTCGTTTCGCATTTGTTAGTTTACGCCGACTCTGGCGTAGACGAGATATTCGACTATCGACCAAAGGGCGGGTGTACTGCTCATCAGTCCGCTCCGTCCTCCTTTATGGTTGTGAGACCTGGCCACTGAGAGTGGAAGACATGAAAAGACTAGCTGTCTTTGATCATAGGTGCCTGCGCTCTATTTCCCGTGTAAAGTGGCATAATAAGGTGAGCAACATTGAGGTTAGGCGTAGAGTTCTAGGTAAACAGGGGAAATCAATCGACGAAGTCGTGAAGCTACAAAGACTGAGATGGTTAGGACATGTGTTACGTATGCCAAGCCATCGCCTCCCTCGACAATGGGCAATGTTAGCGGATATAGGGTCAGGCTGGAAAAAAGCTAGCGGCGGTCAAACAAAAACTTGGCATCAGTCAATGAAATCCACAACAGTTGGTCTAAGCCACGTAGAAAGGTGTAGACTTCCAGGCTGGGGTCCTCGGGACGGTAAAAATCTATGGTTGGAAACAATTGGTGACATGGCTCAAAACCGTTCTCAGTGGCGCAGATGCATCCACTCCCTGTGACTTATGATCTTCAATGAAACTGTTTTGTATTTCTTTATTACTCCTTTGTCTCACACCTCTGCTCACTGTTTCTATTATGCTTTTCTTGTACTTTCTTCTCTTGCTTCGCGTGCTACACGGAATGTGGCGACTTGAACTTCCGCACATTTGTGCAAAGTTCTATGTCGAAAACAGACAGACAGACAGACAAATACATCACCAACTAACCTTGTATTTGTATGAAGACGATAGTTAAAAGATTCCCTGATGCTATTCGCCAGCTCAGGGGTGTTAAGTCGCCATATCTTTATATAATGATCCATCCCTGCAGACAACAGGAGGTTGCCAGATAGGGATACATCGCCATGCAGCACTTCAGCCCGATGGCCTTCTGACCCTCCAAAGACACATATTAACACATTGGTGGCAACATTCCACAGACGAATAGTGTAATCTACACAAAACAAACGAAAGAAATCAATAACAGCAATACTAGTAATAATAATGACAACGACAATAGTAGTAATGACTTATTGTGAATCCATCGAAAGAAGGAGAGTTTAAAAGAAACTGACAACACATCTACATTTGTTATACTGTACGAAGAAAGCCTGTGAAAGTCGAAACGATACTGAAACTTATGCGTACAAATTGGTTCTTCCAGATGTACTATGATAATAAAAGACAAAAAGGGAGAGGGACGATGTAAGAACTGGCATACATGCATGAAAGAGCAAGCTGTTCTATGCCATCTTATCAGAAGTGGAAGAAATGAAATTAGTAGGATTAGAAAGAAAACACAAATAATACCAGCAGTTGTCACAACAACCAAAGAATAGAAAGAAATAGTTACAAGAACTCGCATCACTACACCTTCAGGATTTACAGAAGAACGGGACAGTGATGTGCACAAACTATTGTGATCGATTCTGCTTCATTTCTTCTAAATTACAAAACGATGACACAGACCGTCCCATAGATACCCTTACACTCATTAACGTGTAAGAGCTTTGACGAACAATCAATTCGAATAAGGATTGTGTGCACATCCCATCCAGCGAATGTTTTGAGGACAGTATTTTATTTATGTCCACAAATTTACCAACTTCAGCAGTGCAGGGAAACCAAAAGGTCTCAAACATGTTCACTTCACTGAAAGGTTTCGTACAAATCAATTTCTCTCGATATCTCGTGTTGCCAGTTTACAACCTTTTGCACCTAGATCAACCGCTCTTATTTTAGAAAACTCTTCACATGAGTGGTTCAGTGTGAATTCCTTGCTCCATCCCAGTCCAGACACGCACACACAAACTCAGAATAACCCGCGTAGATAAGGGAATAAACTTGACAACCAGTTTTGTCACCTTCGAATTCTGTCTTAGGTTTCCCGACACGAACACTATTCACGAAGCATGCGAATGCATAAGCAAGTCGCATGCACAGAAATAGACACACCATAGTATTCAGTGTGCCTAAATCTTTCCCAGTAGTCCACAAAGTGACTTCAGACACTGACTAATATTTATGATCGTCGGAAGATGTGACATGTTGGACTGGGGATAATCTATAACAGTATGTAGAAAAGGTAGTGCTTCAATTGAGAAGTCTAGGATGAATGTCTTTTTCAGCTATACATCAGACTTTTCCGGCTCATGTGTCAACTCGCCACTAATCTGTTGTCAGAGAATCAGTGGTGCAACTTTTAAAATCAATCATCACGTGCTGTCTGCTTATGAATATGTTTCTACCCTCGAAACTACCCAGTCCCGTTGGCAAAAGGGGAAGTATGTGTGAAGCAGACTGTCCAGAGCTATAAGGATGTTTCCCTATGCTTACATGAACAAAAGCTGAAATCTAATAAACTTCTCATTTTATATAGACTTTTAGAAGATGGTCTCTCAGCCAGCTAGAATTCCCTCTTATGAGTAAAACATCGTGGAAATGGAACACTGAGTCTGATTCTGCTTTTGCAGTGAAGCTGGTGACTATGTGGGCATTACTGAAGGCTTTGAGCAGGTTCTCGAGATTTCGATTCGCAACACCAATACTGAAAGTATCGTCAATGCATCTCTCATAGACATGCCGGACGTATCTGTAGTTCGATGACAGGACATCTCGCGAACTCACGATATTCAGCTCAATTCGAAAAATCCTCCGAAGTCTCATGCAACATTCAATCAAACATCGGAAGACATCTGGACTGGGCACAGTTGAAGCATTAGCGATACAAATATTCAAGCCAAATCTGTTCAACCGAAAGAAGTAGACTTAACTTTGTCTTTCGTGTGGCTATCATAACCAGTGCATTTCTCCAACAAAACTGTTTTCACCAACTGTTCACTATCCGAACTTTCTGTTTATCCCCTTGGTCTGGTCCCCATTTGCATCACGTAATTTCATGTTGGTATTCTCTATGTCTTGACCTCTAGTCGCTAATATTCCTGGATATTTCGCAACTCCACTACATATATTCACAAAGTCGTGACTCACTGGCCTAAATACTTGCCTTCCAGTCAATGAATCTTGGGTTCGAATTCCTTTCCTTATACTCCAACCTTACACAATGTGTGTGGTTCATAGCTCTCCTCCCACCCACCCTATCATCACCGTCAAGTGAGTTGCAAATAACTAAACTATTTGCGAATGTATCGTCTGGTTGGTGAATTCATCGGAAAAGAAATCTTGCATTGCTGTAACCACTTTTTGATTTTTCTAATGATCAAACGTCAGACGCTACGATAATCGCAAACGTTATCAATAAATAAAGAATGGTAACTGAAGGTAAGCACTCTTAACGGAGGAGACAGTACAGTGTATCCTAACTCCATCCTCTCGGAAAAATCACAGTCCTTCATATTCTCCTCTGATTTAAACTAAATCCACAGATGTCATGATCTATTAACAATCGTGATTACCTTGTGTACCCATATCATCATAGATCAACTTACAGCATTGTACTCGATTAGTCTCCCCCTAAGACCGAGACATACTGCACACCTTCCATACATCGTGAAAGCATGAAGCAGATGAGAATATAGCAAACTACTGCAGAATACATCCAGCACAGCCACAGTGACCTGATAAGCTTTTATAGTCAGTACACATTAAACTCCTACCAGTCATTTATGGACTAGAACAACAAACTCTCATGAAGGAAGTGTTCGTAGTGGACAATCAACATCTCACCTGTCCACCACTAGCCATCAAATGGATTTGTACTGTCATCAGTTTGGTTAAGTAGAATAGAAATGACAACAATACACGTAGTATAAATTCAGGGTGATACGAAATAGTGGAGACAAATTACACTTAAATTCACGAGAGCAACACGGCCAATCAATGTCAAGCTCTCTCATCATACATACATCCATTTTTCGCCATCCAGCAAGTGTAAGGGCTCATACTTATGTATCACTACTGCTAAACAATATGTAGTATCTCAATTTACATTATTAGCGATTTGTTCACTGCTACCGATCAAAGACAAGTACAACTTGGAAAATAAACCAGTGATTACGAAACCAAATGCACGTAAAATAAATCCCAAAATAAAACAAACACTCCGCTAACCTTTACTGAAGGAAAACAATAAGGAGAGACCTTTCGGATGAAATTCCAGTTCGTTGATAGAGCCTCCATGGCCAACGAGACTACCTAGACAACTTAGCATGCTGGGGCAAAGAATCCGGATAACACCACGTTTCCCTGCCACAGCGATTATCTGCTGGTGCGGAGGAATAATCGACCCACCGCGAAAATTATTCACACCTTGATGATGATGAGGAGTCGGGCGAGGTCGACGACTCTCACTGCAACCTCCCCACGAGTTAAACACAGACCTCTCACTTGCGTCATGTGACCAAGCACAACAATAAAACTCTTCCTCATCACCAGCTGGATCAGCGAAAGTCAGCAATGTACTGACAGGCTTCAGTCTCGAAGAATCCTCACTTGAAGCATCTTCAACGACGTCTTTCAAGTGACACTGGTACACTGTAACCTATAAAATCAACAAATGGAAAATTACTGGAGTAAGTGGTAGCGAAAACAAACAAAACCATAGATTTAAAAGGTGTCTATGGGTAAATAGGACTTACATAGTGACCAGAAACTGTAGCGAAATAAAGTGGATCAGATGGTTGACTCCGATTGGCCGAATTAAAGGCAACACCGTAAATAGGTCTTCCATACTCTTCACGAATACTACACGTTGGTTTATAGGGACAATTTGGTTCAGGAGCATTTTCTACCACATTTGGGAGTTTTTCAAGTAGAATCTCTGGTGATAGGATTTCTTTGAAGAGCTCACTCGACGTTTTCTGAGTCATATTCAATAACGTATGATGACGATGAGTGTTGCTAGCCGCATACCTTTCTCTTTTAGGTGGTGACGGGACACTGTTAGACTGAGTCATACTGTCAGGCTGCTCAACGCTACTCGTGTGTATCCTTGTATCTAAAATGGTAGAAATAGATAGGCATTAACAACTACCAACATAATTTTGAAGATCACTATTACAACCAACTACTACCCAGCCAGTGAATGTGATTTTGGACCTGGGATATGTGGGTAAGAACGTGGCCAGTTTTCCGTTCGAAGTTGGGCAAAGTGGGAAAATATCGGCTGTTTTCGGTTGTAGCATGGGTAAAGCGAGAAAAAGTGGAACAATAGAATTTTCCGGGACATGTTAAAGCGGGAAAAAGTGGTCAATAATGTTAAAGTGGGTTAATTAAGTGGCATTTAAACCACCTTTCGCCCACGTCTTTGCCAATCCAAATTATACGTTTAGCCCACATTGCCCATATGCATTCTCTTTGGGAAGTCGCATCAGCCCCAACACGTTGATCGCTAACGAAATCTCAGCACGGACACAGAAGGCTCGTTTCGCGTATGCTAGTTTATGTCGTTTCTGATGTAGACGTGATATCCGGCTATCAACCAAAGAACGTGTGTACTGCTCAGCAGTTCACTCCGTCCACCTTTTCGGCTGTAAGACCTGGCCATTGAGAATGGAGGAAATGAGAGAACCAGCTGTCTTTGATCATAGGTGCCTGCGTTTTATCTCCCGTGTGAAGTGGTATATTGGGGTAAGCAATACTGAGGTTAGGCTACGAGTGCCAGGTAAGGAGGGAAAATCAATCGACGAGGTTGTGAAGCAAGTGTACCGACTGAAATGGTTAGGATATGTCTAGCCATTGTCTTCCTCGACAATGGGCAGTGTTAGCTGACATGTGGTCAGGTTGGAAAAGAGCTAGCAGTAATCAAACCAAAACGTGGCACCAGTTAACAAAATCCACAACAGTTAGTTCAAGCCACGTAGGGAGGTGTAGACTGGCTTCCTGGTTGGGGTCCTCAGGACGGTAAAAACCAATGACAGCTGGAGACAATCGGTGATAAAGCTCATAATCGTTCTCAATGGCGCAGATGCATCCACTCCTTGTGACTTATAATACCCAATGAAACTAAATTGCTCTTCATTATCACTATTCACTTTGTCTCATATCCCTGTCTACTGTCTCTATTTTACATTTCTTCTACTTTCTTCTCTTGCTTTGTGTACCAAATGGAGTGTGGCGACTTGAACTGCTACACACCGGTGTCAAGTTATATGCTGGAAAACCAGACAGACAGACATGCATTCTCTGACTGAATAGGATAACGATGGAAGAATGCATAGCCCAGATGTATGTGAGACGAGTGGATGGTTGCATGTTAAATAAACGCTGAATGCATAGTGACCGAAATGGATGGACATATTCCACCTACAAAATGCAGTCCTTACAATGCTGTCTTAACGAATGGCTGGCTGACGCAAAAATCAACCCAATAACTTCACACACCAGCCACTCTCCCTTCTAAATAACGACTGTGCGGTATTCTTTACCGAGCCGAAAATGAAGGTTGGCCTTCAACAATGAATATGAGGGTGACTCTAGATTATAGCTGCACAAAACGAATTCGTAGTCTAAATTACCTACCCAAGCTCGCTATAATGCTGAATTAAATCTCACTTATTCTGAATTCCAACATTCTACAGTGAGTAAATTCTGAATCTCTTCTGAAATGGATTCTTTAATGGTACAGACTAGAACTCAGTATTGTTTTTCAGCATGACTGGCACTAATTCAGCACCGCGTTCTTTCATTTTGGATGCGTCAATTTTATAGTATCTCTTCTCTGCCACTACTCAAACATTAATGTATGTTATTATCACCTACAAAACCATTGTAATTTCAGGTGGTCTGCAGCTGATGAGAGCCTGTGAAATAGAATTATATCATTTTATACTGCAAATTTCGTCTTCCTTTCTCTATCGAAATTTATCAAGGGAACCAAATGTATGAATTTTATGAAAAGACATCAACGTTTATCCAATATCCAATATCGTTTTTACGAGCTAGTATAAACCAATTTGATTTCTGTGTGCTCACTTCTTGATTGTAAGGTATAGGTTCCTGATCTTCGGTAAACTTCTGCGTAGCTCGTCCCACCACTCGACTGTCGTAGCTTTGCTTGACTCCAAAGGGAGTAGTGCTGGGATTAATTATATGTGGTTTGTAGTATGAGGTATGTTAAGACTGTTACTACTGTGATTGGAGTTGATCCTTTCGTCAGTTAGTCCTTCAGTATCGTCGACGAGAGAAAAGAGATACCAATAATAATAATAATAATAATAATAATAATAATAATAATAATAGATATAATTAGTGAAATTATTCAGACTAAGAGACAGAGACGGAAATAGGAAAGCGTAACAACAGTCAGCTCATTAATTTTAAGTTTATTATTACCGATATATATATATATATATATATATATATATATATATATATATATATGTTGTCAGGAGAGTAAGACGGGAGAGAATGCAAAGAAGTAAAACGACGAGTTTAATTTTTTTATTTTTTATTTCTGATTACAGCTTGATTCCACACCGTATTTTTGGTACAAGTATGGAATTTTCAGCGTGGATATCGGTAGCCCAAAATTCGCAGGCCGACCATAGATATCAAGTGTGCGTCGGCGTGGGCTCGAACCCCGGACCATGTGCATGGTCGGCGAGAGTCCTAACCACTGTGCCACCGACGCACCCCTGAATGGTGTATGCGATTTTAAGGGGATAGGCCATTTGGATGCAGTCCTTGTATCGCTGCATGGTTGTCCAGCCTTCGCTTAAAGGCGTCCAAAGACGGTGCCATAGCTACATCTGCCGGTAAGGAATTCCAGGGACGACAAACCCGCAGTGAAAAGAAGTGGGAGCGCACCCGGGTCCTTGCCCTCTGGTGAGCTATCCTTCTGGGATTTCCACGTGGAAGCCTATACCTACTCAATGGCAGAACACCTTTGTTTGGGTGATTCTGGTCATTTGTTATTTTGTAGGCAGTAATCAAATCCCCCCTAAGCCGACGGTAACTAAGTGTGAACAGGCCTAATTTCTTCAGCCTTTCATCATATGGTTTGTTTCGGAGACCAACCACTCCTTTTGTTGCCCGTCGTTGGACTCTTTCCAAGAGGTTGGCATCTCTTCTCAGCATTGGGGGTGCAATAATATTATGCACCTCAAGGTGTGGCCTGACGTATGTTTTGTACAACATTAGAAAGAGCTCAGGAGTGAGTGCACCTAACTGTCTATGCGTAAAGTGTATGACCGCATATGCCCTCGCTACATCCCCTGTGTAATTTACGCTTGTGTCCATTTTTTCCGTTAGAACTAGACCTAAGTCGCGTTCCGACGTTGTGCAGGACAAGCTTTCATTGCACAGGGTGTAACTTGCATTCTGCAGTCTACAGGTGCGCAACTTCACTACTTTGCACTTTTTCAAGTTGAAAGTCATGCCACTGGCCACCGCCCAGTCTTCCAGAAGGTTTAGGTCTTCCTGTAGCCTATCTGAGTCCTCCGGACACTTTATCGCCCTCCATATTTTTACGTCGTCAGCGTACAGGAGAGTCGGGCAGCTCAGACGGCGTGGTAGATCATTGATGAAAATCAAAAACATCAGTGGTCCTAGGATAGAACCCTGCGACACTCCTGATGACGATCTGTGCCAAGATGATCGGACTCGGTTAACCTTAGTGCAAAATTGCCTGTCGGCTAGGTAGTCCTTCAACCATGACAGAAGTGGCTCACCTATGCCTGCCTGGCTTATTTTATGTAGGAGAAGGTCATGGTGAACAGTGTCAAATGCCTTCTCAAAGTCTAGGAAGACCACATGGACTGGTACGTTCAAGTCCCAGCATGATGTCCAGTCGTCCCAAGCTGACAGTAGGTTAGTGACGCAGGATCTGCCTTTTCTGAAACCATGTTGGGCTTCATGTAGTATATTAGTCCTATCGAAATATTCCCTGATGTGGTCGTCAATAATACTTTCCAGTACTTTTGATACCATGGTCTATAGCTAGTAGCGTTTTGCCTGTCCCCACCCTTGAAGATTGGAGAAAGGATGGCTCTTTTCCACTCCCTTGGCAGGGTCCCCGAATCCATTGAGTGTTGGAACAAGTCGCACAGGGGTCTACAGAGAGCCTCGGCGCACTGTTTCAGAACAGATGGCCTGATGTCATCACAACCTGGGGACTTCCCAGGTATGAGTCGCTGTAGCTTCCTTAGTACTATTGCGGGGTTTATTTGGGGAGTAGTCGCTAGGTCTTCCTCCTCTGAAATAGTGGTGCCACCATTTTGGTCCGTAACTGTAATATCCACATTGCTGTTTAGCTGTTTAGCGAAGGCTGAACTGAATGTTTCAGCCATCTCCAGACTAGTGAGATATTGACCGTTTGGGCCTACTAAGGCGCATGCCCCTTGGTTTGTCGGTTTTCTTTCCGACATGAATCGGTACAAGTTTTTAGGGTTTGATAGGAGTTTTTTAGCAAGGTTAGCCTGGAATGACCTCCTGACTCTTGCATTACACCGGTTCCTGAGTTCGAGGTATGCATCATGGTCGGTCTGACTCTTAGATACACGCCACGTAAACCAAGCCTTCCGCTTTGCTTGCAGAATACGTTGCGTGCCTCTCTTCAACCATGACGTCTTTCTCTTGGCTGTGTTGTGACTAAAGGGACGGTATCCGAGATTGCTTATGGATAATCTTTTTTACCACTTCCCAGTGTTCATCCACAGATAGGTCGTCCCATGCTAAGGGCCAGTCTGCGTCGGACAAGAGCCTCCGCATTTCAGCATAGTCAGCCTTGCTGTAGCACAGACATGGTCGCGTAACATCCCATTGCAAACGCTCACGGAGGACAAGATCGAAACCTATGACTGCATGGTCACTGCTTCCCAGAGGAGTCATGATCTGGACCTTTTCGACGAGTAGCTGGTCACTAGTTAGAATATAATCTAGTTTTGATGACTTTCCACTAGGGCCCCACCTAGTGTCGTCTCCAACATTCTCAGTCAGTCCCGTGTTTCGAATAGTTTGCAGTAGGTTTCGGCCAAATTTTCCCTTAGCACACCCGGAGCCAAGGTTCAGTGATGGAGCATTGAAATCTCCAGCTATGGTGATTTGGTCGTAGCCCAAATCTCGTATCCTGTGATAGTGCTGAGCAGTAGCTGATTGTGCTCTGCCCCACAGGTGGGAGATCGGTAGATGCCACCCAGTAAGTGCTTGGTGTGGCCTACGGTGAAATGACACCATATGGAGTCTGGGAGTTCGATAAGTGGTGGGTCCGTTGCGCGCACACATTTAAGTTGCCTATCAAAGTATATAGCAACTCCCCCTCCTTCCTTATTATCCCTGTCTCTCCTGACCAGTACCATATCACCTATACTGATTTCATTGTCGGCGATAGTGGGGTTTAGCCACGTTTCAGTGAGAATGATTATTTTCAGTTGAAGGTGTGCTTGGAGATTTCGGAGTTCACCTACTTTTCCTCTCAGCCCCCTCACATTGCTATATAGGCAACTGACAGTGAGTCTAACAACCTCAGAGTGTTGTGGGGTAGTTGACGTGAAACCGTCTGCTGGTGGGGGACTTGATGTTGGAACTAGTTGGCCGATTCCGATAGAACCGGCCCGTTGTAGTTTTTTTCAATGGATTTAGGCAGGACACTTGGGTGACACAGACTATTATTCTCAGAGCTGCATCGCTCTAGTGTCACCGAAGCTTGGGGTCGTATTAAAGCCTCAGTTTGCTGCCTCCTTATGGTTCTGGGTCTGCTTTCACAGCATCGGATGTGTCCTCCAATTTTTCCCTTGGTCTCATACCACCGTTGAAGTGATATGGACAACTGCTCCGGGGAGTTGAATGTGACACAGCAGCTTTGGAGAGTTAATCAATGTTAGATGAGCGGGACGAGGTAGTCGGAAAATGGAGATGGCTCCAGAAGCGCCAGGGGCCATCTGAGATGACAGCCATCTCCATTGTTGTACGTCGTGCATGTGTTTTTCACAAGCAGTGCCGGTTTCCAGCTCCGGAACACCGTGTACCACCATAGAGGTGGAAGGCATCAGTTCCGGTGACTCCCTCGCCATATTTCTGATAGCCCATGGTCTATCTTGTCTCACCCTTATGTTAGAACTTCTGTCCAGGGCTAGTACCTGAGCCATTAACAGTACTTTTTCGGCCTCTTCGGCAGAGTCCAGTGTAACCCGTAATGGGGGTCGATTACCCTGAGGCGTGTGGACACCCCTGTACAGTCTGCACAATTTTGCTGAACTAATGTTCAGACCTAGTTTTTGCACAGGTTGGACCACTGTTCCTGATCAAACAGGGCCCGTTGTTCGAGCAAGCTATCCTTGCTCACAGGTACGTTAAAGAGGATGAGAGAGTTAGACCGACTACCCTCAGACTTAGGTTTGGCCTTCGGCTTGTTGCAGTCCTTTGCATCATCAGCAACATTGGGCTTTATCAGGATCTGGCCAGCCTTTTTTGTGTTGCCAAGCTTACTAGTGAATGCAAGTGGTGCTTTTGTAATTTTGCCTTCTCCTGATGTGAATGCAACCTTGTGACTTCACCTTGTGAAAATTGGCATTTCCAGTCAGTAGGACTGGTGTGTCCTTACTGTCTTTGCCAAGTTTTGGCAGTGTGATGTTAGCAGGTGGGGAGCTACATGAGACTGTGTTAGGACACAAGAGCGGCGTGTTGTTTCTGCTATTCGCACACATACTTTGTGGGACTATGCCAGGGCGACAAAGTGGACACACGTACCAAAACCATGGGCATGGGTTATTTCTCATAAACTCGTAGTATGCTTTCGGTACCTCTTTGTCACAACGGCAGTGCACCCATCGTTTGCAAAAATTGGATTCGAACGCTGAGTCAGTTTTAGAAACTATGATACTACACGCCTGATATTCATTTCCTTTCCTTGATGACGCCTTCGGGGTCTTATGACGTCTTGAAAGTTTCCTTCTAGGTTTGTTGTGTTTCACACACTGGCCTACAGTTGATGCATGTGTAGTATCCTGTCCCCCTAGTATCGCCTGTGCCGTTTCAGTACTAGACTGTGGCAATGCAGGCGTAGTACCAGGACAGACGAAAGCTACGTCGACGCCTAGTTTAAAAATAGGAAGTGAAGTGGTAGAGCACGTTGACCGCTTCACTTATTTGGGAAGTACCATCAGCCCCAACGGGCTGATCTCTGACGAAATCTCAGCACGAATACAAGGGGCTCCTTTCGCATTTGCCAGTTTACGCCGACTCTGGCGTAGACAAGATGTTCGACTATCGACCAAAGGGCGGGTGTACTGCTCATCAGTCCGCTCCGTCCTCCTTTATGGTTGTGAGACCTGGCCACTGAGAGTGGAAGACATGAAAAGACTAGCTGTCTTTGATCATAGGTGCCTGCGCTCTATTTCCCGTGTAAAGTGGCATAATAAATAAGGTGAGCAACATGGAGGTTAGGCGTAGAGTTCTAGGTAAACAGGGGAAATCAATCGACGAAGTCGTGAAGCTACAAAGACTGAGATGGTTAGGACATGTGTTACGTATGCCAAGCCATCGCCTCCCTTGACGAGCTATGTTAGCGGATATAGGGTCAGGCTGGAAAAAAGCTAGCGGCGGTCAAACAAAAACTTGGCATCAGTCAATGAAATCCACAACAGTTGGTCTAAGCCACGTAGAAAGGTGTAGACTTCCAGGCTGGGGTCCTCGGACGGTAAAAATCTATGGTTGGAAACAATTGGTGACATGGCTAAAAACCGTTCTCAGTGGCGCAGATGCATCCACTCCCTGTGACTTATGATCTTCAATGAGACTGTTTTGTATTTCTTTATTACTCCTTTGTCTCACACCCCTGCTCACTGTTTCTATTATGCTTTTCTTGTACTTTCTTCTCTTGCTTCGCGTGCTACACGGAATGTGGCGACTTGAACTTCCGCACATTTGTGCAAAGTTCTATGTCGAAAACAGACAGACAGACAGACACGAGTCTTTAGAATCAGTATACGGGAAGGGGTTGAAGTTCCTGGGTTTTTTCCTTCTCTGGCTGAAGCCCTTGTGAATACATACTACGGTGTTTTAGTGGCTTTTCTAAGGCTACTTTCAAAAACCATATTAACAATCAGTATGACTTGCGCTATAAACGAATAAGAAAGCAACAGTATCTATACAAAAGAACAAGAGTTAGACTGAAAAAGTACAAGGCAAGGAAAAGAAAATGTTTTCGACTTTACCTAGTACTTTCTGGATGATCGACTTCACAGCAATCACGTGGTAGACCAAGAAGTCTTGTTTATCTGAACGAGTGAGGAAGATGCTGCTACAAAAGTAGCACCTGAAGCTTTGGCAGTAGTTCGCGACAGCTGGACTTACCATACAGAGATTTATTATGCAAGCAATGGTTGAATTTAATTCACCGACTAGGAAGATCAGGTTTCCAATTCACAAAATTGGTATTTTCCGGTTAGAGAGGAAAAGGCACGTATTCAAGGAGCGCGCCCTCTAGGTCTTTTTTTATCTTTCTCAAATAACGCACATCTGCTTCGGACGCGTCCGGATGGTCTATAGAGAATCGTCAAGGTTTCTATCAGGAAGTTTCGTTTTGGCTGTTATGGATTGGAGTCACTCACGTGACTACAGCAGGTACCGGGAAAACACTATAACACCTGGTATCGGCCTATATCCTCACTCACCAAGCCATCAAGGCCACTTATAACCAAAGCGCGAATGTAATGTTATGGATGAAATGGGTTCGTATAAACAATGTATCTTGCAGGCTGGACTTATCCGGCATGCTGGTTGAAATTTTGCTCGGTAAATTGCTTTAGTCAATGTTTTTAATGAAATTGGGTATTTCGTCTTCTGAATTGACAGGAATTCTCATTTCTTGGTCAGTTATGTTGGTGTCCATGTCATGTGAACTTCCTGCAAAACACTCCTAGTCAATGTTGGTCAGTGTTTCTCCTGGACTGTGCCAAAATATGGCTATAATGAGGAAGATAGGATGGTTGAAGGATAATGCCATCCACACAAATTCTTTACTTCACGTAGAAGCTGAAGTTTTTGGCATAGAACCCATCAAGGAAGATATAGCGGTAAATAATTCCCCAAAATTATTGACCACAGCAATCACTCACCATTGAATGCTGACCACCACTGTTTAAGTCGACTTGTTTAGCTGAAGGCTTCCGGTCAAGCATCCCCGCCATTTGGTACCCCGTCGTGTCACGTGCACGATCACTAGCTAGCTAAGCGTTCGTCTGAAGGCTTGTTTTGGTCCCGAAATATATCACTTAGTTTGGACGATCAAATATTGGCTTTTGCTTTGTTGTTGGTACGCGAGAATAATTTAGAGGCTGTGTAAGAGAATTCCGTCACCCTCTAAACTGTTGAGCCCAACCGCGAACTTCATCCACGATAAATCCGCAGATAACCCCGGTGAGTTCGTTCCATTTTGTATTTGTTCTTGTACCATATATTATTTGACATAATTTTCGTCATGAGTGATCTTAGTCCTAAGGTCATTCATATCCGCTCAACTCCTAAAACTATTAAGCTCGTACCATACTGGCCAGACAATGCTAAACCGTTGCTTCAGATTCAATTCATGGTTGTTTGCTCAAACCCAATATCCTCAATTTCCGTCGAGGCATCAATACGACAGTCATCGTCTCATCGGTCACTGTTCAAAAAGAAGTCAGGAAAAACGGTCAGAATTAATATTGTGATTTATTTTAGTATTATTTGTTCATAGACCTTAGTTTTAAAGCTTAGTTTTAAAGTTGCCTATATGGTGGTGTCAATGGAGTTGAAGATTGAACGATCAATTCATGGTTGTTTGCTTAAAATCAACTTCCCCGATTTTCGCGGAGGCATCAATACGACAGTCATCGTCTCATCGGTCGCTGTTCAGAAAGAAGAGTAAAATATCGTCAGAAGTAATAAAATGATATATTATTGTAATATTTGTTCACAGACCTTAGTTCGTTTATTCCTTTTATATGTTGGTGTAACAATAAAGAAATAACAAGCAGCAGATCGGTGTTTTGGTTTTTGCGTCCGTTACAACTAAGCGTTTCTGAAACTCAAAGGAACAGCGTGGGCCCGAGCGTAGCGAGAGCTGGGCATTAACGGTTAAGGAGACGAGACTGACAGTTTCTGACGATGGAAACAGATCTGGCGGATTCAAACAGTTGGTGAAAGTTTGGATAGTCGCCGTTCATTTTTCCTGGTGCCGGTCAAGTCCTCTTTGAACAAGCAATATCTGGAACGTTTTTGGAATTGGGTCAAGTTCAACAATGCCTGGGTCAAAGAAGGGACAGAGTGTCTTGGATGCAAACAGGAAAGTAAGTCATGGTGACTTGTCTGTTAATTGTAACGATGTGTCTGATGTTAAGCATGACATGGTTGATGTTACTGTTTCGCCGTTCAGGGATAATAGGAACATCAAACTCCCTGAATTTGAACCACGGTGTTTTGATGGAAACCCGGCTGATTATTTACAGTTTGTTAAGGAGTTTGAGGTCATGCTGAGTGGTTTTTATTAAATGATGAATTGAAGTTAATGTATTTGATGAGATATTGCACTGGAGATGCTTCAAGAGCTATACAGTGCTGTAAGTTTATGAAGCTAATAGAGGGCTACTACGAGGCTATGACCATACTGCGTCGAAGGTTTGGAAGACCTTCGATGATTGTAGGGAAATTATTCGAGGCTGTTAAAGGTAATGGTGATCAATCACAGGATGACTCCCAGGCACTCACTGAGTTTTTAGATAATTTGCTAATTTACAAAAATGGAATGATTTCGATGAATCGCATGAGTGACCTCAACTCTAGTTTTATACTAGAAGTAATAGCAAGACGTCTACCTACTCGACTGCAAAGGAAGTGGGTGAAGATAAGCTCCCGTATGGAGGATGAGGGTATCGAGCCAAAGTTTGATGATATCCTGAAACTGGTAAATACTAGTGTCAATCGATCTATGAGCAAGTTCGCCAGTCTGTTAGATCTCACCCCTAGAATGGAGCAGTCTGAGGGTAAAACGCACTCATTGATGACGAATAAGCCCCAGAGAGGTGGATATCGAGAAGGCTCCATGATGTCTAGTAATGCATATAGACCTAGTGAGTGTAACAGCTTTCGTAGTACATCCTCAACAGATAAGTTGCAAGCCGCAAGACAAACACGGTTTTGTTGTACTCGTTTGCAAGAGGTGCATACAAAGGTGAGCTGTGAACCAGTGAGCAAGTTCAGTGATAAGCTAAATGTAAACTCCGGGCCTGACTCCGAATTGTGTGACGATAACGGTGCGCTGAAGAAGTCTGTAGTTGCAACTGGTAAGCCGTTGTTGAATAGAGTGTCACAGAATAGAGTTGCTGCTTCAGAGTGCAGTTCTGACCCTACAAGTTTACAAGGTATAACTAGTCAGAGTGAAGTTATAAAACCTTTAATGATTTTTGAGGAGGAACCAAAATTGTCTACTTCTGTTATTAAAGAGTTTGAAAATGATGAAGTTGACGGTAAATTGAATATTTGTGATAATGATCATGATACTTCACAGTTGTCTTTGGTTGATCATTATGAGATGAGGGATATGCCTACTACTGCTAAGTTAAATAAAGGTTCTGTACAACTACAACGCGAAGTAGAATTGAACGCAGATGCAGTTCCAGAAGGTGTGCATACTTGTGAGACAGTCAGTGTAATTGATCAGCGTGTAGCCCACCTATCATCAGATGCTAGTGCTAAACCTGAGCTGATAGTAAAAGACACCAGCGGTGGTGGTATTGCAGTTGGACAAATATCTGAAAGCCGAAAAAGAACAGCTTCTGATCCACCGCTAAGTTCATCACCTTGTGTCACTCAGTCATCGTTGGTGTTTTCATCCACAATGAAACAGATGCCCATCAACTCAAGTATCTTGTGCAATGACTATGATAGTATTGGTGCGTTTGAAAAGACGAATATCAATGGTCAGTTTAGTGAGGATAAGCCAAGTGTAAACGAGAGAGTTATTGTTAAATTGACTTGCATGAATAAAGGCATTTCTAGTTTCAAGTTACTATTTGAATGTTATTATCTTTGGTGTAAATTACTCTGTTTCTACACTTGGTTGATGAGATATGCCGTGTGTTTGTTCGTCATCTATATTCTACGATACAATGACATGGGCGTGTTGCCGTTCAGATTTGAGGATATAGCTGATAGAAGGAAGTTAGCAAATGAACTCTGCGACGATTTTCCAACCTAGGGCGTCAACCTGAGAAGGGTTGTAGGCGTACTGCTGTAAGTCCTACAGTTCTTCAAGGGTAGTTTGTCGTGTCAGAATACACAACATTTGATGTGTTGATTGTACATATGTTTGTGTTAAATAGTTGTGTGATTTCCAATTGATGTAATTGTTGGTTAATCTTGTTTGTGTCTGGACATTCCACAAATTACAATCGTCAACGTGAGAAGGGTTGCAGGCGTACTGGTGTAAGTCCTGCAATTCTTCAAAGGAATTCCACCAAGACATGATAAGCGAGGTTATTTGTAATATTTGTATATATGTGTGGTGTGTCATATCAATTGGTGATTTTTGGATTCATTGTGTTTACGCGTTGTTTTCGTATCTTGTTGTTATTGCGTAGTTTTGTTAAAATTTTCGTCGTGATTACTTCTGAAGTTGTTTCGAGTCTTCTACATCCATGAATGAATTGATTGATGTTAGAGACAGCAGAAGGGGCGTATACGCCGGGGAGGCTAAGCTATTGCTGAGAATGAAATGCACACGGAGATAATCGTTAGCTGCGGTCCCACACGCCGGGGAGAAAGAGTGTCAACGACTGAGGCTCGCATGCGTCACCGCTACTAGAACTGAGGCAGAATGAGCGACAAGTGATTGCAGTGGTAATTGGTAGTGAGTAGATAAGAGGATGTGCGTAGAGTATCATGAGGTGGTGCTATGGTCACGTTGCATTCTGCAAGAGTCATTCTAGCAAGTGGCGATTGTGTTGCAAGATGTCAAGAGGAGGTCTCTGTCTGGAGGCGCAGGTCGTCATTGATGTGTGAGATTGTGCTGTGGGTATGCTTGTGGTGTGTTGGCTTTTCTGTTTGGTTTCCATTTCAGCTTTGCCCGTGTGACCCAGGTTCTCGCAATGGCATCCAAGTCAACGTGTATTGGTCGTGATGGAAAAAAGGGATGGATCCGTATTTTGCCGGGGAGTGTCAATAATAATAATAATAATATATTCTCATTTTTTACATGAGGGACGCCAGTTTACAGGCATCATCAATTCGATAAGTTACACATAATATTAATAAGCATATTTAGTAAAGATAATATAAGAAGGTACATTTTTTTCCCTAGCAATTTAGGGTACACCAATTGCATAGGCTTGCATAAATATTGTTTTAATAATAATAATATATCCCTTCCTGTTTATGCAGGAACATACCAATTGTACAGTCATGGATAAGTTATTATACAAATTACACAATTTGATGTATGATGAATTTACAGTTTGGTTGTTCTCTCTGACATGAGAGTCAGTCGGAACAGTCTGCTATAAAGTCTGTGTAGCACATAAAGAGATATAGAAATATTGTCTTCGCATTAAAAAAACCAGACATCAGATGAATGTAATACGGATATCTGGGAAAAAAGCTTGAAGTCAATTCTCTTATATAACTTTGTTGTGAGCAACACCCTTGGTTTGAAGTTTATTGATGTATTATGTTG